CTCATCGGCCCAAGGAACAGGGGAGGAAGGAAATTCTGGAGCGCAACAAACCCCAGGGTCATTTGTCAACGGCACATACTCAAAGTTCATGCGTGTGGATCTCACCAAGTGCAATCTTGGGCACTATGCAGCGTCTGACTTTACAAGCCTTCGTGACAGCACTCGCGATTTGGTGGCAGTGACACGCGATTTGGTGCACGTGTATGCAGCATGTGGGTCTGAGGGTTGATTCCCCATTTTCGAAAACCAGCTGCGCCCTCCTTCTGGTTGTTCCGGAAGAAATGATCCATTGAGTGCGCAAGTTACCCCTCAAGGGCTTCAACATCGCCGGGACTCTTTTTGACACCGTGCTTCTCAAGTGAGGCGCTTCCATCTCTGCGCTTCCGCAAACAGGAAACGACCATGGCCCGCATATGTACGGCAACCCGCGGCGACCCTCTGTCAAAATCTTGTCCGAAGAGGGCCATGGGATGGCCAACAATCTGGATTCTGACAGGGGTTGTCTTGCGCCAAGTCGGATTCCCTGCTTCCATTTGCCTTTTAACAAAAAAACATGTCCAGAAGTGAAATCGATTCCCTTCTAAAAAGCCACCGCGTAAAACTCGTCTCAGGCGGCTGGCACAGCTTTGGCCTTCACCGCCGCCTTCACCGCCGGCTTGGGACTGGCGAGACCTCAGTCGGTCGGTCGCCCGCTTTCCGGTGAGGTTCAAAGTCCCATCTCTCAACTCGAGGTAACTTGGACCCCCTGGACCTCAAACAATACGTTGACCGTTTGCAGGTCAGTTTCCGATTTTTGGGGCGCCCGGTCCCCTATTTTGACACATCTCACGGATTTCGTCAGCGAAACCTAGGGATTCCCCCAAGAAGCTGTTTGGCAAGGGAAGGGCTCTGAGGGGTCCATGCACCTGGATTCGGGACAGCCTGTTGGACCTGGCGTGGCTCCCTTTTTCAGAAACCGGTTTAGTGTTGAAAAGACCCCCCAAACCGCGACACGATTTGGGGGGTCCACTCGCTTTATTCCGGACCAAACCAGAAGGGTTACTGACAAGCTTTGCGACTAGCTGTCTTTGGTCTGAAATGCGTTTGAGCCGCGTTTGGAGACGAGAATGCTCCGAACAATCTGAGGATCTCCACCGAAGCAAACTGTTCAAAGGCGATGAGAAGTTGAATCGAAGCCCCTCTTTTTGGCTCTTGTCCATCAAGATCCCTTCCGAATCCCGCATCCAGGTTGCCCTTTGGTTTGACTGAAACCCAAAGGCACAAAGGACCCAAAACAAAAGGTCAACCTTTTGGGGCCATGACTAGGAATGGACCAAACAGCGGCAAATAAAGGGTCAAAAAGGTGAGCTTTGGGCAAGTGAGGACATGGTCTTTGAGCTTTGGGGAAAGGGAAAATGACATGGCGTCCCGCCTGGCCCACAGCTTCCCAGCGGAAACTTCATCCTTTCCCAAATAGCCATTGTCCAAACCCGCCCAAAAAGGAGATCATACCTCCGTCAGGCTATGGACACCAGGAGGAGTGAGGGAGCGCAAAATCGCCGTTGAGACGTTTAAACCTGCTTGCAGTGACATGGACCTTCCGAAGTTGCAGAAAGGGTACCCAGCCGCTACTCACTTCCTGCGTGGATTGGCCAAAAAACATCCGAACTTCTTATTCACCAACTGCAAATGCTCCAAACCCAGAAAGTGACTAAAGTCCAAGTCGGAACTGAGGCGAGAGGCGAGTGGGACATGTTTCGTTACTTAGATGGTCTTGGACGAATTGCCAAAAGGTCAGTGGTAAGGGACTTACAACAAAAACGGCTTTGGTGGGTTACAACCAGGGCATTCCTCCCACCTAAGCACCAATGAATCTTTGTGCGGGGAAGGCCTGTCAGAACCTGCGAAAACCCCCGAATACCCTCCCAATCCAAACCTCGTTCGCTTCTTGGGGCGTGGACCACCCCCTGTGTTTCTCCAGTGAATCCTTGGAAACCACGAAAACCCCAAAGCCGTTTGGAGAACCTTTTGAAAAACCGACAGCCCGCAGCCCCCCCCGGCCTTTGGCAGCTCCAGCCGGCGCCTTGGCCGCCGCCTTGGCCGGGGCCTTGGGCGGCGCCTTGGCCGCGGCTTTCGCCTTCGGTGGGGCCGCTGGCTCCGCCTTGGCCTGCGCCTTGGCCTCCGCCTTGGCCTCCGCCTTGGCCGCTGCCTTGGCCTGGCCAAGGGGGCCATTTCAACGGCACGTGTCCATGTGTCGGATGTGTTTGTGGTCAGCCCGTGTCCACAAAATTGAGGCGAAACCGTGCAGAAAATTGGGGCACCATGATCATGGAAGCCGTTTCAACATTTCGGGGCCAAGCCGGTTCAACAGCCAGGGCTGCCCCTGCCAGGACTGAAATGGACTTGAAGCCTTGCCCAGTGCCTCTCCGGAAACTTGTGTCCAAGGTCCCAAGGCGCAGCTGCATCTTTGTATACTAAAATATAAACACATATTCTGGGAAGACCCCCAAACGACGTGGGAAATTAGTGAGCCCTCTGGTTCTTGTCGGGACATTTAGAGCTCGTCCCCACATGTCTGGGTAATTTCGACCGAAGAGGTATCCCCCTCAGGAGCGCCCTCCCAAGCTGAAAAGAGTGGAATCCACTGGGCAATGTTAAACTCTTACCCCCAAAGGAACCTCACTTTTGGTTTGTCGGAAAAGATTCGGAGGTTCGGAATGGCCGCTGGGCAACCGGGATAACCCAAACATCTGGGCGCTTGAACCACATTGGAAAACCAAAGCAAGTTACCAATCCCTTTGGGTTTCCTTGTGGGACAATTGGCGTCCATTTCCTTTTTTCGGCCCCTGGAAAGCACAAAATATGTCCAGAGATAGACTCCCTTTTAAACCAACAAGATTAACAAAAAAACAAAAAAAACACATATTCTTAAGCACATGGAGGTTGAGACTCGTTGACAGATTCGGATTCCTGCACCCGCCTTGGGGGGCGGTGGCTTGCCAGGCTCCGCCAGGCTGGTCTGCAGACTGAACTTCAGCCTCGGTCATGTCTGGACGAAATCCATTTCGCACCACTTGGGAACCATGGGAAACCCATTGTTTGTTGGTATTTACAGGAATATCATCATTCCAGGGTTTGATAGGTGGTGCAGAATTTCGTCCATCCACAGTATGTCACCTTCAAGGCACACTCGACAAGAAACATACCAAAGCGGCACCACCTGATCTGATGATTGAAAGGGGTGAACCCCGCCTCAAGAATTCGCAAAAGTCTGAAATCCAGGCCAACATGAGATTTGATTGTCACGTCGGCTCCTCACCTGCCCAAGGAACTTGGACAACTGAGTTTTGGAAGCTTGACCAAATACCAGTATGTTTTAACGCATGCGGTGTTTTTAGGCTGGAGACAGTGTCAGCTTCAGTTGACATATTGCAAACAAGCGTAGACCATATCCAGGCGGTTCTAGCCCTTTGTCATATGTACGTAGATGGGCAAGCAACTAACATTGTCAGTCAAGTAGATTCTCCCAGCCCAGCCCACCCCGAGAATTTGCTCGGTGTTACAGAGCCTAGGCCTAAGCCACCGCTCCAAGTTCGTGCGGCATTTGCAGTTGTCGGAGCTTCAAGAAAGCAGCTGCCAGCAAGCAAGGGTAAGCTTCATGGAAGCAATGTGGACTTTGCTTCCAAATGAGCTGCCACCAAGCTCGCCCCGTCCCAAAGCCAAGGGGCGAGGCTTTGTTGTAGCCCGCCACGACAGCTTGACCGGGTAGCTTTTGAAACTGGGCGTGCGACATGCATTCAGAACGTGTCATGGGTCAGTATACAACCATGATGTGAGCATCATCTACCTATGAATAGAATTCGAGGCTGTTACCAAAGCACACTAAGAAAATTTCAGTTTACATGATTCCCACGAGGATATGGGTAACTTAATGAACCCCTGATGTTTCGGTCAGAAATGTGGAGCTCCCCCCCCCCGCCCCCAATTTCCCTCCAAAATGAACAATAGACAAATCTCACAGAGTAATTACTCTCCCAAGTGGCTGTGGGTCAATTACCCAAAATGGAACCCTGTAACTGGAAACATGGACCAAAACCTGCGGTCCCCTGGCGGTTTTGTTTTGACCCATACCCAAGTTACAGTCAGTCCATACCTGACGCACACTTCCCACAGGCCTTGATGATGTGCTCCAGTGGAGGCAGGTTTTGCTTGTGAGTGATCTCCTGGCACAGAATCAGCCAAGTTTGGGGGTGGAGAATGCAACCCATTCAACAGGTCCAACACATCCCAGATTCCTTCCAAATGGAGACCCCACCCCCCTAAAAATGGTTTATTTTCCCTCTCAGAACTGACAAATGTCGCCTCAAAAGGATCCCCATGTCTACCTATCCAGGGTGCAACCCGCTGCGAAGGCCTAGGTTGGCGCACATCGGCCTCTCTGATCTCCATGACATGCTGCGCCACAGGGTAGTCCGGCATAGGCGCGTTGCTGTCCCAGAGAATCTCGGTAGCAGGACATGGACTTCGGCCATGAGGGTCCCAACTGACAGTTCCTTGCCCTAAATATGAGAAGAAATCCAGCCAAAGAAGCCCATAACAAGAACAGTCGAGAAAACCCGCTTCTGTTGCTTTATTTCGCCCACTTGCCACCTGTCATGTTGATATCACTCCACCAGGACACATGAGCCACGGATACTTGTATCCAATGTCACGCGTGCCGCGACAAGGCTGCTTCGACACCGCACGGTGAAAGTGCAGCTTGCCGACAAATGCCTGGATGAAAGAACCGGCTGATGTCAACTGACACTTGCCACAGTAAATTTGGCTGCAGTTGACCCCTCTACAAAAAGATTAAGCCTTTGTGGGTTTCATCGAAAATGTGCGTTTCCCAAGAAGTTAATCCCCGAAGATCCAACCGAATAGCCACAAACTTGAACTAAATCGGCTGATGTCTGGACAGAAGACTGCGACTCATTCAGATCAGCAGCCAAGGCCACCCACCAAACCAAATACGGACGTCGACGGGAAGACAATGGGAAGGCTATGGGCGAAGACTACGATGCGTTTTCCAAAACGCATCTGGACTCGGCACGCAGTACGGGAAGATTGCCGATGCCAGGGAGTCCGTATTTTACTGTAGCCAGCTATCAATTATCATGTAAATGCAAGTAAATTAAAGAAACTCTCAATTAAACCTACCAATTCAAATAATTCAAAATAAGTGGTTGCCTAAGTCTACCAAAATTAGAAATCCGGTCAAGACTCTGGATTGACACCACCATTTCCTATTTCCCCATCAAACGATTAAGAAGTAATTCAGGCCCTGTTTAACATACCGATTGACCGTATGCAAACATTGTGTTTACGTATTATTTTCTCTGAGTGGACATTAAGGAACCACTCCATAAAATGGTTCTTCACGATCAGCCCCAGAAGTTGTACACCACGTGTTTGTAGGGTTGACACATTTCTGTAATTAGACCTATTAAGCCCCATTTTTGCTGGTCCAACGGCAAGTTGTGTTCACGGATATTTCTCAAATCCGAAGTTTGCATGTCTTCCGTCTTCCCAGGCGTTGCATAACTTGGAGATCTTGATGGGCTGAACCTCGCAAGAAGATTTGCCGAAATGGGGAGTGTCTGGGTTGAAGTCTACCTTGGGGTGTGCCGTTTTCCTGGGTATCTCTTGTTTGGTGGTTTTAACGGGAAACTAAGAGAAAAACCCATTTTGGGGGTCCAACCTCAAAAAAAACTCGCCCCTCCTGGGGAACTCAAAAAAAGGGAACCCCTCCAGCACTGGACCTTTGCCGAGTTGGACCTGCACGGGCCAGTGCCTCTCTCGTCGCTCGTCGCGGCGGTCGCACCTCTCGCGGGCGCCTTTTGCGCGAGTCGGGGCTCCGGGCGATTTGGATCAGCAGGCTGGGGTCGGCGGGCAAGGTGGCCTTGAGCTCCTCCCGACGGCTCCGTTCTTTGGTTTCTTGGCGCGAGAAAGGAACTTCCCCGAGCTTCCGGCGGTTTCCGGGTGGTTTCGAAAGAAGCGGTGGACCGGGGAGTCTCGGAGTTTCCGGGTTTCGAATGAAGCGGTGGGGACCACCAAAAAACAGAACCTTAGAATCATTTCAACTCATTGCTGAGAAACAGCAAGTTTTGGACGGGTTGCCAATTTGGGGATAGAGCTAGCGAGCCATTCCTCACTCTCGCCTCTCACCTTGCTTTACCCTCGATTTCCTGCGTCTAGCAGTGAATCCGGAAGGTGGAAGAGGCTGGAAGGGAATGGAGTGACCAGAATGCTCTCGTCTTCCTTTGTCTCTTTTCCGTTGCATTCCATCTCCCCTCTCGATCTCTCTCCATCCCTTCTCTCTTCAGCGTTCATCGTCTGGACTCGTCTCTGAGAGAAGGATGAGAGACTGGACAATTTGGAGACATCCGATTTGGGCATTCAATCAGGTGTTCTCTGCGGAACAAACTTGGGGCTTTCCTTCAAGGAAACACAGGCTTAGTGCCCAGGAAACCCCCCAGACTTGCTAGAGATTCGCCTGCCCCACCCTCGGACGGAAACGAGCAACAATTCATGCGGCCTACAAGCTAAGCAACCTGTGCCATGTCGCTGCTTCGTTGTCACATTTTCACAAGCGTCTTCCGATGCTTTGACCTCCCTGGATGACCAGCGGCCCTCACAGAAAAAAGGGTAACTCTCTTGGCGTTGGCCAATTTTCTGGGGACGCCCGGCAAACAAATGGCGAAAACGAGCGGAATCCACTGAAAAGCTGCGGTTCCGTTCCTGGTTGTATTTCGGCGACGTGGTGTCTGGGAGCACATTGGTCCTGCCGAAGCAGGCAAGTGGCGTGCACCAAGCTGGGAGCTTACCCCAGAATCACCTCTTCTCAACTTTACTCGCTGAACAGAAATCCAACGAGTACCCCTTGCCAGTCCTGAGCCCTGTTTTTTGTCGATTGTTGACAAAAACGCCCTGAGCCATCGATGCTTCTGGCTCTTTCTCCCGTGCCTCTACTCCCATCCATGTCTTGAACTGATGGCTGACTTCGATGCTCATTCAGTTCTGACAAACAATATCTTAATAAATCAATCAATGCAGAACCGAACCTACCGAACCTGAAACCAAACCAAGCACCTACGTCTCATTCGAAGCCATGTTGTCTACGTCCCTCACCTGCCACGACCACCAGCTGGGGCCCGGGCTTGGCGCTCCAGATGCATTTGGGGTCCGGCTCTAGGGAGAAGTTGGTCTTCCTGCGGCCATTTTTGGTTGGCACCCGCAAACAGCAGAGGATTTGGATGCCCCATGTCGTCCCCGTGAATGATGGCAACAAACATATTGTTATGTGTGGCTTCTGGGAAAGCTTCGGATCTGGGTAGAAGCTTGGCTCTGCCTGGAGCGTTTGGCCAAACTTCGAGAGTTGAAGCTCTCCTGACATCTGTTCGGGTGGCGCGGATCTCGATGAAGGAGTCGATGCCGCCGAATTGGTCCACCTCAACATGGGGCTTGGACCATGGGAGTTTGTGCAGAGTAACCCCCCCTAAATTAAGATGGAACCCAAAAGGAATGGTCCCCCAAAGGGACCCCGCCCCCCGCAAAATGCTGGGGGCGGAGATGTGACTCGAAAACCATCGGTTGGACGAAAGGGAACAGGCAGTTGCTAAGACGGGACAAATACAGGCGAGGCGCCTTCTTCTTTGAGACACGCGCGGCGCAAACACATGCTTCTCCAACCAGCTTTCTAGGCCCTTCCGGGATGCTTTTTTGTTTGATATGGGCTTGTTGTTTTCCCGAATTGAGCTCCTCCTAATCTGTCCAGAAAGACTTAGGCGCCGGGAACATGGCGCCCTAAGCGCCTACGTGAGCTCAGCACAATATTTTACCGTATCCATTTTTGGATCGTCCCCTTTGCGGTTTTGGGCTGGTATCGGCTTTGGCTTGAAGATCAGCGCCTGCGGGAACTTCGTGCCCTCCTTGACCGCGAAGACAAACTTCATCGCCTGCACGGTGGTTCCCCACAGGGTTGATCGGTATTCCCTGAGGCCCCAAATGACCAAGGGTAGCCTTTCCCAGTTAGTGGGCATCATCTTTGCAGTGACTTTCCCCAATGGCCCCATGCAGCCCCATGCATGTAAAGGACCTAGATCAACCCCCACATGCGACTGCGCCGGACTGTACTTTGGGAGACTCCGTTTGAGCCGTTCTCACATACAGGGATGGTGGCTTCACGTGGACAAAGGAAGGCAACCATTTGAAGGCCCCTGACACCGCGATTGGCACTTTAAACCTTGCTAAGATCACATTGGGCACTTTTTGGCGCTGCTCTTGCGATATGCTGTTGCGATATGGCGGCTGAAGCGTGTGGCTTCGCTTTGTTGGAGCTATCAAAACTCCTTGGTCATATCTCCCTTACCAAATTCTCGCAAGAACAAGTTTTGACCACGGCACATCGGGCATGAAACGTCGCTCCTCGAAGATGGTGACATCGAACTTGGCCTTGATGTCCTTCTTCGTCGGCAAAGTGGACCTCCAACTCTCCAATCTTTGCCCGCGAGCGGAAGACATGGAGGACTTGCTGGTGCGATAGGTAGGGAATGAGGGAATGAACCCAGGGCTCCCCTTAAAGGACACCACAAAGGATGGTTTATATGAGTCATTCCCTCATTCCCTACCTATCGCACCAGCCAGAAGATCAGCTTCAAAGGGAAACCGTTGCATAGGATAGTAGCACTCAAAAGGGAAACCACTTTTGGCTGCTCTGCAGCGGTGGAGATAAGGTGAACATTAAGCATACTGATCATACTGATATGTAGTAGGTCGTGTCAACATTACCCCTTCAGTTCAAACGTTGCCTCGAACTTGCGATCAAAGGGCTGCAGGCTTTGACTATGACTCACTTGCTTCAGGTCCAACATCTTATTGCCTGTTCGGCTGGTTTGGAGGGATTTTGTGGGTTTGGACGTTCCGGGTCAAATTTTGGCGTCCCGGCTGGAACGTCAGCTCCTGGGGCATGCTCGGCGGCGGAGCTTCGAAGGTGAAGGTGGAGATGTCCGTCAACAGCCTCGGACTGGGTTGCACGGGGAACCCCCGGCAAAAAAGGGTCACATGAGTGTGGCTCAAAATTGAAGAGCTAGGGTTACGCAGGTTTTAGACTGAGTTTAGTCCTTTGATCCCATTTCCCAAAGGGCCATTTTGGTACATTTATTTGAGCCACAGCCACATTGAGGCACTGATGGCATGCCCTCGTTTTGGGGTCGTTTAGAAAGAAGTGAACTATCAAGTTGTTGAGGACACCTTTGCTGGGCTTTGAAAGGGAAACCATTCGGAGTTATCCACTTGGAGACCCACTCGATAGGTGAAGGCTGGATGGCTGTCAAAGTGCTGACGCCCGAACTTTGCCTGCCTGCAAAGAGCTACCGTGGTTGCGAAATCATGGATGCACCACTTGGAAACCATACGAAACCATTGTTGGTATTTACAAGGCACTCATCATGTCAGGGTTTCTTTGGTGGTGCAGGATTTCGTCCGTCCACACAATTTACAGGAAGCTCGCGGAAATGAACCGAATCGGTTCGTGCGAATCGCGCCGAACCGGAACCGGCGCGAAACGGCTATACACGATTCCCGGAAACGAATCGACACGGCACGCCGACCCGGCGAGCCAAAACGAAACGAATCGGGTTGGAGGGCAGACCCTTCCGGATCAGTTCCAGAAAGCAAAAAAGAGGTTAGAGCAGGACCCCCCCTAAAAAAATAATAATACGCCATTAGGATCTTTTATTGAAATGGGACTCTCCGGATCTGAAATTAATCCCGATTACTGAAGCGGTCTGTTTGTTTCATCTCTGCGGCGGCTGTGGCCTTTGATGGGACAAGCGGAGCCCAAGGATGGAACGAAGGTTGGAGTGTTGAAGGCCTTTGAGACAAGCATATGACTACTGGCAGGTTCAACCAGGATGACCGGTGGAGTTGGAAAAAGTGGCCCGAAGCCAGCCTGCGAATGGTTGGAAGGACGACGGTTGGAAGACGGAGGCGGCTCAGCGAATGCTGGTTGAATGAAGGTTGGATGGGCGGCCCGCCCCCGAATGGTTCGAGGGACGAAGGTTGGAAGACGGAGGAAATGTTGGACCATGTGATGAGGTGGCTCCCCAAGGGTTGGAGGAGAAGCCCCCACAAAGGTTGGACGGGCGGCCCCCAAAAGGTTGGAGGAAGCCCGCCCCCGAATTGTTGAAAGACGGAGGCGGCTCAGCGAAGGCTGGAGGAGAGGTTGGAGGAGAAGCCCCCGCAAAGGTTGGACGGGCGGCCCGCCCCCCAAAGGTTGGAGGAAGCCCGCCCCCGAATTGTTGGAAGACGGAGGCGGCTCAGCGAAGGCTGGGAGGAGAGGTTGGAGGAGAAGCCCCCACGGAAGGTTGGAGGAAGTGGTCTGAAGCCCGGCCCTGAATGGTTGGAAGACGGAGGTGGCTCAGCGAAGGGTTGGACGGGCGGCCGGCAGCTCAGCGAAGGCTGGAGGAGAGGTTGGAGGAGAAGCCCCCGCACAGGTTGGACGGCCCGCCTTCAAAGATTGGAGGAAGCCCGCCCCCGAATTGTTGGAAGACGGAGGCGGCTCAGCGAAGGCTGGAGGAGAGGTTAGAGGAGAAGCCCCCGCAATGGTTGGACGGGCGGCCCGCCCCCCAAAGGTTGGAGGAAGTGGCCTGAAGCCCGGCCCCGAATGGCTGGAAGATGGAGGCGGCTCAGCGAAGGCTGGAGGAGAGGTTGGAAGAGAAGCCCCCGCAAAGGTTGGACGGGCGGCCCGCCCCCCAAAGGTTGGAGCAAGCCCACCCCCGAATTGTTGGAAGACGGAGGTCGCTCAGCGAAGGCTCGAGGAGAGGTTAGAGGAGAAGCCCCCGCAAAGGCTGGACGGGCGGCCCGCCCCCCAAAGGTTGGAGGAAGCCCGCCCCCGAATTGTTGGAAGACGGAGGGCTTCCTCCAACCTTTGGGGGGCGGGGGCTTCTCCTCTAACCTCTCCTCCAGCCTTCGCTGAGCTGCCTCCGTCTTCCAACAATTCGGGGGCGGGCTTCCTCAAACCTTTTGGGGGCGGGCCGCCCGTCCAACCTTTGCGGGGGCTTCTCCTTTAACCTCTCCTCCAGCCTTCGCTGAGCTGCCCCCGAATTGTTGGAACACGGAGGCAGCTCAGCGAAGGCTGGAGGAGAGGTTGGAGGAGAAGCCCCCGCAAAGGTTGGACGGGCGGCCCGCCCCCCAAAGGTTGGAGGAAGTGGCCTGCAGCCCGGTTTTTAGGAGGCGGCCCTGGAAAGGTTGGAACATGTGGAGAGGTGGCCCCCCAAAGGTTGAAGGAGAAGCCCCCCGCAGAGGTGGTCACTTGAAAGGCCGGTTGGAAGAGGCGGCAGAGAGGGCGGCAGGAGGCGACCAGCGGCCCCCAAAGCCCCATCAAAACGAATTGAAACGAACCGGGCCTTGGCAAGGAACCGGCTGCGAAACGAAACGCCCGAATCGTATGGCGATTCAGGGCTATCGAATCCAACACACCGAAACGAACGTGCGCGCGAAACGGAACGAACCCAAACGAATCGTGAGAACCCTGAATGTACATGTTACTTCCTTGCGGATTCACATGGAATCCCTTGGTTTTAACACCTGCAATCTGTGACGTTGTTTTCGTTTACCAAGCACCTTCATGTGTAGAATTGTCATCTCCTTCTTCCCGCTTGGCCAGGCACTGGTTCACGGCGAGGCTCTTGTTGCCGATGAAGGTGTCTTCCTCAGGCCGCGCCGCAGCAAATCTGAAAGTCACCATTCCGGGATCCCAGAAAACCAAAATCCAATAAAACTACCCACCCACAACAAGCCTGAACAGATTCGGAAAGAACTAGAGTTGAACAAAGGGAAAGGAAAACCAACCGCTCGAATGATCCTACATGGGTTCTACCGCGGCACACACACAAACATGATTGTCCTCTGATTTGCAGGTGATGAGAACCCGTTTCTGAGAACCCCTTGAATGGGTCCCCTATCGGCAAAGCTTCGGTGCTGCCAGAGTCGAAGATCAGGAGGTTCAACCACTGGTCCTGGCATTGAATTCGGGCGGACACCCGGGAAGGGATAAGTTGATCCTTTGGCGTCCCAAAGACGGACAAGCCGCCGTTGATTGCACGGAGGCACTCTTGGGAGACTCTTCAAATGGAAGCTTGCAGGACCATCTAAGCAGAGAAAGGCTCCTCTTTTTCCACAGCCCAGGTGTCAAAACGGGTCGCAACCACGGCGATCGACACAACACAGGCCGTGCGCGCCGGCTTGTTGTACACCTGGCCGCAGGTGCGTTGTCGAGTGCCAAAAAAGGTAATGCGCCGTTCAGTGCTGGCACCACACATGGTAAATAATAAAATTCACAAGGGGATACTGTACAGTGGGATTTTGGTGAAACCGCCTGTGATACCGATGCAACCCACAAGGAAGATAGATGTGAGCAACGGTCAATACTTGCCATCATTTGCAGTCAAGAGGATGACAGGCCGCTTTGTCTTTCTTGAGCTACACGTGGAGCTCCTTTTATGTTCACCAACCATTTTGAAGGATGCCAACAAATTGGAGCCATAATTACCCGCAACAAGGCAGAGCACTATTGGAAATGGCTTGGCAAGGCCGCCAAACAAAATATGGGACCTTTGCTTTCGAGAGTTGCAACTTTCAGCACAGCAATATGCTAGGTGAGCATCACACACGCTCAGCCCATAAGACCGAAACTTGGCATTGCACACAGCATATCTCAATGGCTGTCAAAAGGAATCCAGGACAGCAATGTGAAAGGGGTCCACGGGAAAAAAAGGGTCCCAACTTTTGTGGAAGGAAGCCGAAAGTAAACCGGTCCCGTCCAATTTCCATACCCGGTTTGGGGTGGACATGACGTTTCCTATCTATCTGCTCAGCGAAAACAAGCGCCGCGAGTCGTCTCTTGCCGGATGAGGTCCACGCCTTTGTAAGGTCCACACTCTTCTGGAACTTGGGGTTGTTGTCACCCGTGATGATCTCGCATCATGCGCCGTTTTGCGGATTTCACATATTTTCTTCCCCCTGATTCTTTTTTAGTACTCTTTTGATATCCTACAGAACATAGATCCGCAAAATCCACATCCAAACCGTGTAGAATAAAAGGGGGGAGGTAGCCAACGAATCAAAGGGCACCCCTCCCTTTTCCGGCTCACGTGTTCCAGATTGGAACCCACAAGTCCCAAGGGAAGCGTTAGCAGTGTGACATATTGGCTATGTCTGAAGGCTCCCAGCATGAAGACGCCCCGAAGAACAAATCGCATATAGTTGGCATACGGGTGTGTCTTTTTTTAGGAATCGGACCGCCCAAAATGGTTGTTGTCCTTCTTGGTTCCCTTTAGCACAAGCCAAGCAGAGATATCCTCAGCATGGGGTACCTCAGAGGCTCCGAGGCTCAAATCAGACCAGAAATCCAATGCATCTTCGATGGACCGGTGAGGCGTGGTCAAGCCATGTGATATCCCTCCAAAAGACTGGAGAACCTGGCCCAAGAGCGTTTCACAGGCTGAATGAACCCAGAGCAAAAAACGCTGATATGGCAGATGTGGTTCACTCCTAGTTTAGAGCAAATCAACCGTTGATGAAGGCTTGTTGCGCAAAACCAGCCATCAAGCAGCCAAAAAATGGCCATAGGTTCGTACGTGGGTCCACACAGGGGTCCAAACAATCTGCCTCCAATTTCAGAAACTTGTAAAATGTTTATTTCTTTCTTTCTTCCTTCCTTCCTTCCTTTTCGGTCTATCTGTTTCTTTCTTTCTTTCTGTCTTTCTTTCTTTGCTTTGTTTCCTTCCTTCCTTCCTTCCTTTCTTTCTTTCTTTCTTTCTTTCTTTCTTTCTTTCTTTCTTTTCTTTGCCGTGTCGGCGATTTTATCATGTTTGTCATTCTGTCCGCTCATTGTTGCAGCAACTGAAAGCGATGGATCCCTTTTGGTTGGTAGTGCAAGGGACAACAGCAAGAAACTAGAAACCTCCATATCTATTCAAGAGCCCCCTATCTCGATTGGGGTCCTTCAACCTTTCCAACATCCCGATTTGCCACTCAGTTGCCTGAAGGGGCCATGACTAAGAACGGACCAACCAGGGAGAACTAAAAGGTGAAAAGGCCAGCTTTGGGCAAGTGAGTCAGATAATTCCCCACAGAAAGTTGCCTCTGATTTGCCCCCTGAATTTGGCTGGCTTCCGCCCCTTGCAACCTTCTGGTTTTCAACATGATCTGCGTGCTTGATTTTTAGACCCCCCCCATTGTGGATGATTTGAAGGGATTTTGACAAAAGGCACACCTCGCATTTTGTCTCACTTGGGCAAGCGACCCAACCAGTTTCTTCCCGCAAGAGAGCCCAGGAACTGCGGAAGTGAGTTGTTTGATTACACATCCCAGCTGTAGCCTCCAACTACGCTGATTCAGCGACGAAGCGGCCCTGAAATAGCACTGAATGTGGGAAGGGGAGCTGCCTGCTGTTTTTGGGCTCTGAAAACCAAAGCAAGGTTGGACCGTTTTGGCTTAGTTTATTTGGCACTTGTTAATGGGGACCGCCCTCAAAAGGGGTTGGCGGTCCACTTTGGCCTACTTTCTGAAGAACCAAAGGGCCGTGAAAAACGACTCATTTCCGGGGGCGGTTTTGGCCGGTGCAGGGCCCCGGAAAGGCTTTGGCCTCTGAACGCGCCGTCTTGTCCGCGGAGACGCTGGTCTTCCCCTTCCTTGAGTCGAAAACAACCGTTGACTACTCAAGGAGTTCAGCCTTGGAAAGACTTTGTAAGGTTTGTTCAGCCCAGAAAAGGGGGTGTTCGACCTAGAAGTTTGTGAGAACACGAACTTGACTCCTTTCACCATTGTCGCGAACGAAGCAGGTTGAACATCCAAGTACCCTTTTGGAATACCCCACGAAGGCAGCGCACTTTTTGCCAGGGCTCCCAAAAAAGGCCCCCGTCTTCTGGCAACGGGGTGGCCCCAAACATGACCCAAGATGCTTGGGGTCGCTGGCAAGGGTCACCCCGAGATCAGTGGAAAAATACTGAGCGAGCGGTCCAAATTACCACTTGAAGTGGTTTTATGCTGCTGCCCCGAACTTCTGGATTTTGACCCGTGACCCGACGGACCGCTCATTTGCCCTCTTCACAACTCCGGTTCCGCCTCCTCAATAGTGCCCCCTACTCCAAAAACTTGCTTGTTTAGGGTATATGGCTATATATGGCTGTGGGTCAAGAATAGGTACCCAAAATGGAACCATGGTAAATGGAAAGATGGACTAAACCTGCGGCCCCTGGTGGTTTAATTTTGACCCATACCCATATCTTGAAAACCGGGCTTTTACCAAATGCCTCTTTTGCAAGTCAGGAGTGGACAGCATCCCCTCAATAATTTGCTAGGTCCTCCAGTAGAGAGGTTAGAATAAGGGTACCCTTTTTTTCTGTAGTCTTTTAGTAGGGGAACCTCCCCCCAGAAAAAGGGTAAAAGGGCACTACTGGGGGGACCTAGTTTGGGTAGCCTGGCCACAACTCGCGAGCCGATCTTCGCGAAGTGCTGAGCTCCCAGCGACTCGGGGTCTTTGCCGAAGCCAGACTGGGCCTCCGGCTCGCTCCGCGTGAAGCGAAAGCTTGGAAGACAAATACCCACCCAGTTTTTGGGGTATCACCTCAACGCCTGACCCAACGATGCTGTATATTTGTCAGAAGCCGGAATATTGAGATACACCGTAATACCATGTTGGATGCTCTTCGCTGAGAGCCGCTGAATACACAAAGGTGTTTCCCAGAATGGGGAATGGCTTCAGCTGGTTGGTGTCCTTCTGGTTTCACTTCGCCTGGACAAAAAGCCAAAGCGGTCTCCTCTTGGTTGCCGTTGGAAGGGGAGCAACAACTTATATTTTAGCAGTTAAGTGGGGATTTCCCAGTAAACCACACTAAGCAAAACATGTAAAATGCTTCCCAACAACAACCATGTCCTTCCCGCGTCATTTTTGTGCCTACTGGTCTACGAGCAAATCCCGGCATCGAGAAGTTAGACGGCGCCTCGAGGAAGGGATCCACGCCGCCCAGCATGTTGACGTCCGGCAGGTTCTTCATGGAGACGTTCTGCGTGGTTCGCTTTGAGGGCAAGCTCGGTCAAAGGACGAAGCGTGAGTTGGAGACGCGAAGGGGATGCTCTGAACCACCAAACGAGGAAGACAGAAAACAAGGGAATTCCCTGGTTTTGAGCTAAGCCAGTTTGGGCTGCACCAGTGGTCGGTGCCCTCAAAAGGAACCCTCTGGGACGGAAAAGGCGGCGATTGTGCCACAAAGGGCCCAGCCAATTGCTTCTCCAGTCTGGAAAGCCCAGACTTCGGATTTCCGGAAGCAAGGGAGTGCGGTTCTTCCCTCATTGGTCCACTGCTTCTTTGGAGGCTTGGGGTGGGGGGGGTGGGGGCAATGAACGACAATAAACTTGTCAAGGCTTGGGAAAGGGCCACCATGTGCTTGCGAAAACAAATCATCATAACCAAACGAATAGCAAATGGAAACAAATGAAGCTTCCAGCTATCAGCCAGTTGCTGCAACCCATACGGCGCTGCTCCTTCTCATTGGAACCCCGCATCCAATGGCCCTTTTGGCTGGTATTTTTGCAGCGGACACCTACTCGGTGAATTCCAACGGGAACGACTTTAAGCGGAACCCCCGGCGGTTTTCTTTAAGGGGGGAAGACGCTGATGAAATGCCACCACAGTGTCGCCACCTGACTCATGGCTTGTGTGGGCATTGTCCCATGGGCTCCGTGAAAGCTTGAGGTCGGTGAAACGGACAATGCAAGGAATCGTGAGGTTCCAGCTCTCTTTCTCACACCCGTTTGGCATGCTTCTCGCCTATCTGGGCAGGGCAGGGCTGTGGGAAATGACCACTTCTGTGATTCAACAGAAAGGGCTTCCCAAAGACGGGGCGATTCCCTTGTATCACAGTGGGGATAAACTGATAAGCCCCTTGTGCTCCCGCAACTTTGGGGACTGACCATATCCATCGCCTTCAGCTGTTGGGGAAAAGCAACCATGGCCTGCAGCGAGATGGCGATCTGTTGCCCCTCGTTCAGGGTCCGAAACTTGTCCTCGCGACGCGGACGGAGTGAGGGAGTTCGACAGCTTGGGCCGGAGGTTTCCCCTGAAAACATCAACCCGAAGGGAGAAGCGGGCCAAAACCACCAGAAAGGGAACAACAATAAATATAGGGACCCCATTAGAGGGCGTGTGTCCAACCAAAAGGGGAGCCTCAAGAGAAGTGTTGCTTCCTCTCTTCCTTTTTGATCACCAAGCCAATTTCTGGGGTCGTCGATTTCTTGTGAGTCCCCATATCTTGACCTGGATTGGTGACTTGTCTAACATCGCACCAACTCTAGAGCTTGTGGACTAACTGAGCCTTCGGAGCCGTTCCACGGGTGCACAGCTAGTTCTGAGCAACATTGCAACACCTCTCTGCAACGGACTCCGTGTCATGTTCCATGGCTACTCTCAGGCTTCGCTCAAGAAAGAAGAGTGGCAAGCAGAGGCCATCGGTGCCGCTAGAGCCCCAGCGGTGGCCGAATCTCGCTTTGCTTACCGAGCCAAGGCTGGATCCGCCAACATGGCCTCGGTGTTCCCCCGTCCCTTCAAAACCAAAAGGTTCGGCTCCAACTCCACAGACCGCCAAAAGCCCATGGCGAGATGGTCCGGTCCTTGGGCCCGTGTGGGTGCACGTCCAAGCGCGCCTTCCAGCCCCGGGCCACCGCCTGGATCCTCGGCTTGGCCCAGAGACCTCCTTCTGCTCATGGCGCTGGTGGACGGGCCGGACGTTTTGCTCGGGTCAACGGAACGTCGGGCCGGACGGTTTGCTCGGGCTGCCAACGGAATTTCGAAAGGACAACAAATACACAATGTAGCCCCAGGAGCCCGCGAGTTCATTATTTGAGTTTTTTGGGGGCGTTCAAAGCCCTCATATTGTTCAAAGCCCTCATATTTAGGGTCTTGGGCTCCTAGGGTAGGAACATAAAAGAGCTGGGCAAGTCAATCATACGGCGTCTTTCCTGAACGGTGCTGCCCAATTTCTACACAAAGTAGTGGCTTGCCGGAGACAGCAGCTGCTTGGCAGGCCACAAGCACAGGGAAAAAGGCTGCACATATAGTTGCTCTTCTATAAACACACAAATGTATATGCACAAGTGAATTTGTAGAAAGACAAAAGTAAATGAGTGAGCTGCTACAAACAGACACACACACACACATTTACTCATAACCAGCTCATAAATCCCTGCAAATTGACATGGAGCATAAAACAGAACTCACCCCAAAAGGAGGTTCCTCCTTTCGGTTAACGGGAGCTGTGAGCTTTGCGGGGTCTCATGTTCATCTCTGAGCGAATTAGCTGCGAAAACTGTCGTGGGTGTCTTGTGTGGATGACCAATTCATTTCGCAGTTGGGATTGGTTTATGAGCCAGCATTGGGTTTTCATTGGTCGATAAGCCTCCCATGTAAACTGGTTGATAAGCACCAATCAACTGGTTGACACGGCAGAACAGGTTGGTAAACCATATCTGTGATAAGCCACCTATCAAATGGATTTGGTCCATCGGGGTTGGCTTGCTCGCCGAGTGAGGCCCCGGCTTCAGGACAGCCTAGCGTCAGATGGTGCAACTGAAGCAAGCCGTCTACGCGCCGTTGGATGTTCAGCCCACGTAAGGATGTATCCATGAAAAAAACGCCAACCAACCCGTGTTCCACTTATAACCTGGCTTTTGACCTACTTGCTAAGGTGGAACATCCAACTTTGAGGGTGAATTCTAGCAGCTGACTAACCCCAAATAAGGGAACGACCTATGGACGGAACCTCAGTCCCGGGTGAGGTCGCAAAATAGGCTTGTTTGGATGGGAAGGCCTTGTGCGGGCCTGTTTTGAAAGGCAACCATAGGGAAACACGGCCACATTTGTCTGAAGATGGGTGAACCCTCCTCATCCTGCCAACTTGGACAAAAAACAAAGAATCACATAGATTGCAGGCGCTGAATAGGAGTCGAGTCTAGGTCTGCAACATCAACTATCCATGCCCTTCTGGTTTCCTTTGGGGAAAACAAGACATCTGCGCAAATAAGCGCCCACTTCTGGGCGCGCAACCTTGAGAAGCCCTGAATTCTTAGCCGGTCACTTCGTGCCCGAGAAGCGCCGGCTTCGTTGGTTGGGTCAAGTCAGCTTTGGGAGACATTTATAGGGAACTCCAACGGATCCTGGTTGGTCGCGTTCAACTCAAGAAGCATGGGAAAATCTGCCTCGAATCTAAACCACCAAACCAGAGCACGGATGAGGGGTAGGTAAAAACTGACGCAAGTTCGCATGCGTTCAAGGCAGGGAAACACCTTTTCTTTCACGCCTCATCGGGCTTTGCACGCCAGGCGTCCTTTTCGAATTCCAATTTCTATCACGGCTTGAAAAAAAAGGCAGCAATCAGTGACCGCACGCTGCCAGATAGCTTTGGCAGGTCATGATTGTGAAAAGGAACGGCACGTATGAGACCCTTCGACTAGTATTGCCGTTGAACACCCTGGTTCAAAACACAGGGGTTGCAAAGCTCAGGCTTCTCAAAACTCCCAGACACAGCCAAAAAACATATCAAGAGAAAACATTAACACAACACACGCTTTGCATGCATGGGTGTTTTTGTTTTTGGTGTATCATGTGTTTTTTTGACAGGAAACCAAAGGGAAAACCCATTTTGTGGTTGCTCCCTAACTTTGACGGAAACCATATGGGTCTCGTGTCAAATCAGCGTTCCCATACATGGTGGTTGTTCTCTTGGTTTCCCTTCAAAGCAGCCTTAAAAAAGATACTCAAAAACATTCGTGGCAACTTGAGCAACCTGCCTTCAGCTCCATTTCGGACACCTCCTGCGATGATGTGCCATGCCGACAAGCACCATGTACTTGTGCGCAAAGCAGTGACTGCGACAAACCTTTTTGACGGTTGAAGAAGGCCAACAAGGCAATCTTAGGAATAGCTCACTTGCCACAGAGGTACTGGCTGCGTACTGGTTCTCCGTTTGTTGTGAGGTGTGCCCTCTCTCCGTGCTATGGGAATTCTTCCGGTCAGCTACAACATGGGCCGGCAACGCTGCTTGAAATATCGTTTTGCTCAATCGCATGAACAACACATCGCCGCTCGCATTGCCGTGGAATCTGAACTGGTCACCATTGTCCTCCATCTCTGGTGGAGCCCTTGGTTCAAGGGTTTTGGGTACTTACCTTGCCAGCTGACCCACCATATTTCCTTAATTATATAAGGCTAAAGTTGACTCATGGACCAATGCGGGTATTCCTTCCCAAAATCCATGCTGCGACTATGTCCCGGAGCCGTCGCCAGTGGCTTTGGGACAGATACCTCGAGCACAGTCCATATCGATTCCTCGCCGTTTCCAGAGTGGACTGCTCAGAACAAGTGCAGACTTTGTCTCTACAACTAGCATGATCTGCCCAAGAAGTTGTAAGTCCAGATGGTGAGAGATGCTCTCACCAGGCGGTTTCCTTTCTTCATTTTGGCAATTCTCCTCTGCAGCTGCTGCGTTGGCTCCGTTTTGTTTAAATAAATACGCCTGGAACCATGTCCTTGTACCAGTCGCGCTTGGATGTTCAACTTGGTTCTCAAGAGGCTTAGTGGCCTTACCCCGCTTCTCTCAGTTAGTGGGTTGGCTCGCTTCCTGGATTGGCCAAACAAGTCTAAACTATGTGGTTACCACTAAAATGGTCCAAACCCAAAAAGTGACTAAAGTCCGAAACGGAACTCCGGAAGCGAGTACCAGCATTGAAACATCTGTTCTGACCTGAATGGGCTCACTCGCCCCCATGTACTCGTGGGGCTCATTCCCCAACCTGGAACCCAAAGGGATCCACCGCCCGAGTGCTGACCATTGCTTTCTGGACATGCGACGTCGTTCTCGACTCGCTTCGGCTCCTTAGGCCGGCCCTTGCCACCGCCTTTGCCTTTGCCCTTGGCCTTGGCCTTGCCCTTTGCTGCGGGCGCTCCAGCGGCGGGGGCTCCAGCCTTTGCCTTAGGTCGATGGAAGTTTGAGAGACAGGCAGGGATAATGTCGCAGCCACGCTTTGCATCTTCCGCACAGAGCTTGACATTTGGCATCCATGGACCTCGATCTCGTGATTGTCCCAAGAAGAATCTGCCAGGGTCAGCACAGCTCCCCTTCGCATGCCGTTATTGGGAAAGCACACATCCCTGGGAAGGAAGGGCCTAGAAAGAAGCTCCCTGATACGAGTGGAAAAGTTAGACCGGGGGGGAAAAAGAAACAAGACAAGCGACAACTGCGAACTCCACATCATTGCCAAGATGCTTTTGCCGCAGCTGGCGCCTTGGCCCCCGCTTTGGCCCCTGCTTTAGGCCCTGCTTTGGGCCCTGCTGCCTCTGCCTTGGCCTTCGCACTTTTGTTCGCCTGAGCCGGGTTTTGCGGGTTTGGTCGGACAGATTTGTGGGGCCAATGACTTGCGCCATTCACTAGGGACTTTGGGTAAGTTGCTGACGGGGTTGAATTATCAAAAGTACGGGTTCCGCCCCTGACCACCAAAACGCAAGCTGGCAGTTCAGTGGTCGGGGGACGGCTCACGACCCAGAAAGGATTTTGTTTTTTCCGTGCTTTTCTGAGCGGCCTGCAAAGAGGTCCACGAAATAACAAAAACAACATGCCAGAAACACACACACACACCCACACACATACATGGAGAGGCAAGACACAACCACCCTTGGGCACCTCCCGGGCAACGTGGTTTGCTTTCCGCACCCATATGGCCATGGGTCAAAATCCAAATCGTACCCCCAGTGAACATCCCAATCCTCACTAAAGTAGACTAAAATGGGTGGTGCACCTACCCCAAAATGGTACCATTTGACCCACAGCCATATCTTCGGAAAGATGGATGGACTAGGCCCAGCCATGATCCGGAGATGACAGGATCAGTACCCAAGCGCCGCATTGTAGGTGCTACCCCGACGGAACAACTCAAAAAAAATCAGGGGAGATGCGTGCGAAGATGCGTGGAGAAGCGAATCAACTGGACAACTGCAGTGACATCAGCCCAGTCATAGGACTGAGGAGAGAACCCTAGCCAAACACCGCGTAGTAAATGTGGCGCACAAGATTCTTGAACGTAGTCTGGGATCAAATCGAAGTGCAGGATCACAAGCGGAAAGCCCAATAGTGAATGGACATGTGGGCATCCTAGCGCAGCCGCAGCCGGGAAGGCTCAAAGGACCCAATGTCGCCTCCAAACAGAATGTCAACTAGGCACCAAACAAAAGGAAAATCATGGTGACAAGCGCAGGAAGGTAGATCCACTGCTTGCCTGTACGCAAACTCAAAAATGGGCATCGGCGAGTAAAGAAGCGCCGCAGAGACCTCACCGGGCCTGATGAAGGTGAGTCAGGTTAAATAAGAAGTGCAAAACAAACGCAGAAGCCGATAGCTCCAGTGACTCCAGCGTAGGCGGTACGTTTTGGGAAATACGCAGTACACCAAGGTCCGGGATCCTGAATCGCAAAGGCAACGGATTGCCTGAGTCCGTCTTTCAAACCCGCCAAGAACTTGCACACCGTCTTGGCAATGGTAGATCACCAGCAGGAAGTCCACTTGGGGAGATTCAGGGTGGAGACTGTCCAAACAAAAACAACAAAAAACAAACTCAAGAAAATAAAGCCGCCCTGCAAAAACCCGCCTCCCAAAGGCTACCTTTCTGTTGGGGGTTTAGGGCTAGCGACAAGTACAGCGTGGGCAAAAGCGTTCATCATCTATGAGGAAGAGGATGCCCAGCAGAGCGGTCAAGATCAGCGCGCGGGCGCGGAAGTAGGGAAGGCCCACAGGGAAAGAGGAACCGTAGGGTCCAACCCCCGGTGAAAAAAGCGGATTACCAAATTTAGATGATGACAATCCTTATGTAGGCAAACAATGGTGGTTATATGTACCCCCATTGTTTGAATGGTGGTTGTATCTAACCCCAGTGTGAAGACCAATCCGAACAAAGGCAAGGGGCAAGTCCGGAACAGCTCGGTAAAGGGACCGACCTTCACATACAGTCGGTCAAGCAAATAGAGAGACCATCCGTGGCATGTCCATGCCCTCAAAAAGCGCTACATACCCCGACAAGGCTTGGACTGAAAGGGGCTTCACTTTTGGTTGGCTGAAATGGACCAATAGGGCCACCGTCCTCCATCTGGGAACCCACCAAAAAGGTGACATAGGCGACGATTCGAGTGAAACGGAGGCAACCCGAAAAATAAGCGGTTTCCTTTCGGATTCCCTTTAAACCCAAAACCCAAACACCAGTACCCTTGAAGAAAAACTGACGCAAATCCAACTTCAAATGCGGACTCCGCGCCTTCATCTTCAACAGAGGCCCGGTGATGAAGACAAGCCCGACCTCGGAGGCTGATGCTCGCAACCGCGGACTTGCGCGGAACCCACCAAGGCGTCCTTTGCGAATGACATGAAAATGGGCGTCCAGATGCCCAGGTTCCATGTTGGAGAGGAGTGCTAAAGGATCTTTATCCAAAAGCATGTAAGACTTTGCCACCCTTGGTACTTGGGAAGAGCCAAGCTCTTCGCGCTCCAAGTGGACCTCCCTAAGCAACTGGAAACTCTCCTAAACCTGCTCCACGACAGTGATGATGTTTGAGGCTGAAAAAGGAAGTCTGAGCCCAGGGAAGGTGCAAACCAGGTAACACTGCAAGATCTGCCAGGTATGGTTTAAACAGCACGTGGCGCTTGAAATGCAATGGACCCCCATATGCAAGGTCAATCGCAATTGGGACAAAATTTTGGGCAACTTCTAAGCACAGCTGGTCACCAAGGTTGGGCAACATTTGCTTTAAGCGTCAGAGCTTGGTCACTCTTTGCATTCACCACAACACATCACAGAATTACTACCAATTCCCTTCAAAGTTCTTGGCTTGGAATTAGGACCCTGGCAAGAAAGCTCTATTTTGTTGCCTGGTGAGTGGAAGACAAAGGGGACCCCCCAAAAGAACTTGCAAAACAACTCCAAAAGGGGAGCGAATTCTGGGGAAGAGTTGACCAGGAACGAAGCAAACCTTCAAAGGGACTGGTTTTCGTTTGGTTGCCAGCCCCCGAGCTGAAAGGCTTATTGGAGATGCCGCAAAAAATCAGGTTGCTCGAAACCCAACTAACACTGTGTTCGATGCGAAAGGATTGATTGGAAGAAAGTTTAAAGATAGCCTCGTGCAATCTGACATCAACTTAACTCTTGGCTGGTTGCCAGGCAACAAGGAATACCATCAAGTGAACAGCGAAGAACTCAGTTATTTGGCAAACAAATGGAGGGTATTCTCAGTTTTGGGGATATTCGGCAAATTTTGGGAAGCGCTTTTTTGAGAATACAAGGTTGAGTCGCCATGTTTGGAACACAGTTGAGTGTCACCGCGCATAACATGTTGCGCATGAATCTAGTTGCTAAGTCTGGAGAAGAAAAACAACGCGTAGGGTTCAACAGGTAAGCCGCCAACACCACTTGTCGGGATCTTTTTCCACCCCTCATTAGGCTGAGAGCTAAGTAGGTCTGGAAAATTCAATCAAATCCATCCAAACGGTTGGTATCGCAAACTTATCCATGCCATTCGGGTGCCTCGTCATTTTTTAGAATCGCCCCCCCCCCAAAAATATATATATATATATATTTCATATTTGTGGGTTTCTCTTTGGTTTCCCTTTAAACCCACCCAAAAGAGACGGGAACACCCCCACGCCCAGACAAAAAAAGATACGCCGATTTGGCCATGGGTAAAAAGCCCGTACCCCCAGTTAACATCCCAATCCCCGCCAAAACAGGTTCTCAAATGGGTGGTGCACCGAAAACCCCAAAATGGGATCCCATTGGTTTTGACCCACGGCCATTTGGCGCATGGCAAGGTCCGAGGTGCGGTGACCACAGCCAGCCAGGTGGGCACGCTGCCCCCGGCCGGCTCAGCCGCCTCCTCCTCGGCGGCCTGCGAAACGCCGGACGAGGGGCGGGGGGGGGGAAAAATGGTTATAAGGTTGGTTCTAGGGTGGGGTATTTTCAGTTCAGGGTTTCAGGGGCAGGGTTCATTTTCAACAAGCAAACCATTTTGTCCAAAACCTAAAGGTTGATTGTGGGGAATTTTCCTAAATTTTCTCAACATTTTTTTACAATTTTTTCATTATGAAACAGTCTAAGATTTCATCATTTTCAAGGTTCGGGTTTCAGACAATTTTTAAGCTTTCTGGGGGATACATGTGTTTAATCATATTATAAGTTGTTAATATGAATAAACCAATAATATTGCTTAGGGTTTCCGCCTGTCAGGCGTAAAACGGACTTTGTCCGGTTTCCAATTGCTAAAATCAGCATAAATACCAATGTTTTCACCAATCTCATTCCACCACTGTTCTATTTTTCTTGACCAGCTTAATACTGTTTCTTTGTCAATATGTTTGTTTCTTTTCTTATGCTTCTCATAATTAAACCGAATGATTGCTTGAAGAATTAGAAAATTTGTTCTCCTAAAAAAGAATTTCATATCTTCAATGTTTTTACAACCTGTGAATGCTATATTGTTTAACTCTGCTCCATATTCAATTACTTTTCCTTCATCATATAATTCATTGTAAGTCTTCATTAACAAATCACGATGATAACATTGTATTAATGGCTTTTCTGGATAACCCAATTCTTTCATTGTTTCAATTACATTGTTCATTTCTTCATAGGATGGATATGGATTTAACTTAATGAACCTTTTAACTTCATCACTTTCTTTTTGTCTTTTCTCCATCAACTTCTCTACATTTTCTGTGGTTAATACTGTCATACCTTCCATTGCTCTTATTATATTAAGGTCTTGTTTCTTTAAGTATATATATTTGACTTTAAGGTAGTTTAATAATATTATAAGATAATAATATGAATAAACTTAATCATAATCACTATCAACAGTACCCATATAATTAAACCAGTCAATAATAAGCCTTTTCTTTTCTAACAAATGACAGACGAATTTATGATAAAACTTATTATCAAAAATGTTTTTATAAACGACTTTGTCTTTGTTTTCTATATATTGCCATTTCAACATTTTAAGAAAATCTCTACACATTGAAATGCTAATTTTTTTACAAGATACATAACCATCATTATTATGAAAAAGTAAATTATAATGAAATTGAGTAGCGGTTCCATAATGCAAGATTAGTCTATTGTCATATCCATACTCTTTTAATGCTTTGTCTAAACCAGTTGTAAATATTGTCCGTAATGATTTTTTCGTTGGACATTTATTTAACCTCGTCATATACCAAATCCACTTATCCATTTCTTCTAAATTGTCAGGTTCGTTTTTCATTAAATGTTTTGTAATGGTGCATCTTTTACAACATACAAAACTCAAAATATTATCAATGATACAGTCAGGAAATATGTCATTTGCTTTTTTGACTTTGTTGTTGTATATCTTACAACCACGGCATTTTACAATTTCTTTTGTCAATTCTTCTCTGATACACTTATTCATTTTTTTCTTAATATATTAAGGGGCCATTTCTTTAAGTAGTTTTATTTTTTCTTCTTGCCTCTGCTACTTTTTGTGTCAGCGCTTTCTGGGCTTCTGCTCCTGCTTCTTGTTTCCATTTGTTCCCTCGTCCATTCACTACCTCTTGCTATTTCTTGGGGTGAGTTGCTCCTGCTTCTTGTTTCTAATTGTCTTCTGTTCATTTGATTACCTCTTGCTCTTTCTTCTGGTGAGTGGCTTCTGCTTCTCGCTTCTACCTGTCGTCTTGACCAGAAAGAAGCCCTCGGTTGTTCTTCTTCTTGTTCTCGCGATTGTTCTGATGAAGTGGATGACTTCTTATCTCGTTGGAATAGTTCAAATACGCTCTTGTCTTCTCCACCTAAAAATATGTTTCTTAACGATTTTATTTCTCGGCTTTCCTCTTTCTTATCTTTTTCGGTTGATGCTGATGACGATGATGATGTTAAATGAAGACTTTGTAAATCTTCCTGCTTTTCATCTTTTGGTTCATCTTTTGGTTCATCTTTTGGTTCATCTTTTGGTCCTGAAATTGCATTACTATAAATTTCATCAGTAAAATCTTTTGCTATATATCGTGTTGTTTGTGCGTCTGCTTCGTTGTTTTCATAAAACTGTGATGTTGGCGCTACTTCATCAAACATATCAGGGAACAATTCATGTTGAAGAACTTGTTTATCAGTTTGAACCCTAGCATTCAATCGTAGTCTCCTATCGTATTTTGAAAGGTCAAAATCATCAAAGTCTATATTATTAATTGATTTGTCAAATGTCTGTCTTTCAGGGATAATTTCAATTTTTAATCTGTGTGTCATCGCTTCTTTCAGCATTTCATCAAATGTAGGGCGTCGGCGTAATCCATAATATTTATCAGTCATATTAAATATTATAGATTATTTATTGTTGGGTTGCTTTATGGACGAAGTATTTATTATAAACATTGTCCTCATAATATTTTTGTAGTTTAACCTTCACTGCGTTTCTATCTACTCCTGTTGTATTGTTATATTCATCTAATAATTCTTTGAACTCATCATATTTAACAGCGTTAATTACATTGAATTGATGTAGTTTTGAAATTATACTATCCATTAAACTTCTTGGATTTTTTGCTAAATATACCGGCCACATCCACTTTATACCACTTAAATAATTTTTGAAAATTCGTTCATCATCAACATCTTCATTTTCAACATTTTGTAATTCCATTTCGTTTGCTTGTTCTTGCATTTCCATTATCTCAGCATTAGTAATGGTTGTTTGAGCGTCATCGTCATCATCCTTACCTTTTTTCAATGCTTCTAATTCAACTACAGGGTCGTTTTCATGTTCATCTTCTTCTTCCCCTTCCTCTAATGGTTCTAATTCTGGCATTTCATCAGCGGACACCATTGAATGAATTTCTACACCTTCTGGTATTGATTGTTTTGACACAGCACTTGCCATTTCATCGTGTTGTTCTCTCCAAAGTCTCATTTTTTCAGCAAGTTCTTCTTTCTGTTTGTTTGCTTCCGCCAATCTTTCATTAATGAAAGACTGCTGTTGTTTCAGTGTGTCATCAAGTTTAGCTCTTACACTACCACCGTCCGACGACGCCTCTTTCATAACTTCTTCTCTTCTGTTCAGTTCTTGTTTCTTCTGAATATCCAAAGCATCTTTATTATCAAACTGACTACCGTATTGATTTAATCTGTATCTGGTTGCTTTTCTGTCTATTACATTTTCAATTGATGGACGGTTCTCATCTCCTACTAATGTTTCTTTCAATAGTTCATCATAAGAAGGTCTCAAATGTAATTGTGATTTCAATGACCCTACTTTTACCGGTCCTACTGTATTCAATCTATTCATTGATTTAATCATAGTATATTAATTATTTAGAAAAATAAATTAATCAGAGATATTCTTAATCATTTCTTCTAAATGCTTCTTTCTTACAGTTAGTTGTTCCTTTGTTTGTATTCCATCTGGTGTCCGTGTGTTGTCTAATATGTTTCTTATTCTGTCTAACTCTTTTCTATAACTTTCGGTTCTGTTGCTTTCAACTAAATCGTTTCTATACTTTATTAATGCTCCTTGTGATTGTTTCGCTTCCAGTGTGTCCTTCAACTGTTTAAAGTAATTCATACGCGAGGCAACTCCCCATAAATCTGAAACGTCATAATGACGTTCTACTTGTGGCGCCCTTTTAAATTCTACATTTCTATGACTTCTCATAAGCATAATTGTTATATATAATAATTAGATTATTATTTAAAACATTGATAAAGTTAATTTATTTATTTTATCTGATTTATCTTGTTTTTTCTTTTGTTGCAGTTCTTCGTAATGTTGATTTAATAGTTCTGTTGCTGTGGGTTTCTTAATGGTTTCTTTAATCACTTCTTGTTTTATTTCATTCTTAATCTCTTCTTTCACTTCTGGTTGAATTCTTCTAATATTCTTTTGTGGATTGACTGGTAATAATTCAGTAGGAACACCCTTACAATTCTTAGGATGTGAAAAACGAAGTGATTTAGCATTCATAGATTTACCGCATTTATCACATTGGACTACTTCAATTTCTTTCTTTGTTCTTGGTAATGCTTTTGCTTTTGCTTTTGCTTTTGGTTTGTCTATGGTTTCTTTTGTTGGTTCTTCAGTTGGTTCTTCTGGCGTTGGTTCGCGTAGCAACGCGAAGGCTTCGCGTTCTTCATTAACTGTTTCATTTTGTTCAACAACCTCATTATTAATAGGTGCTTCGTCTGTTTTAGTTTCATTATTAACATCTACTACCTCAATACTTGTCATATAATATATTCTATATATTTTCTATTAAATTTCTATATAGAATATATTTAAATAATATCACTTTTTACGAAAAGGAGACTCAGACTAACATTAACCCCATTCAAATTAATTTCATTACCTAATGAATTAGACAACCAGAAGTCTAACTGTTTAAAGCTTCTATTTGACACATCCAAGTAATCGAGAGGGTTCATTTCATTATCAAAGACAATTCCCGCGTGTGGTGCTGAGACTGGCACTTTCTTAACAACTGTGCTATCGCCTGTCCTTAAATTTACTTGATTATAATTAGACAATTGAGAAGAATGAATATAAATATTTCTAATAGGTTGAAGATTAATAAACTCAGACACATAAGGATTATTGTATTGATAAACTGCAACTTGATAATTTCCTAAAACTTCATTAACAGACTGTAAGTTATTAACATTAAAACTTCCATTCCATATATAATCTGCATATGTTAGTTTCATTTGTTCATCAGTTAATACAGCGAACTTTCTATCAGCATAGTTTGAATAAATTGTTATTTTATTAGTTTTTACACTGTAAGAAATTTCATAAGTATTTGAGAAATTAGCATTATCAACAATACCATTTATTTTTGCCTTTAATTCTGTCGCTAGTTCTGTGCCAGTATATACTCCTTCGTC